GCTTGCCAAGGGCCTGTCCGCAGGCTCCAGGCTCTGCCGCGGCCTGCTTCATGTGGCAGGCATTTCGGAGAGGCTGTCTGGGGCTTTCAGCCGAGTCTTCCCGCCCTGCAGGAAAGCTGTCGCAGGAGACCTCCCACTTGGCTGGTGAAGGCGCCTGGTTGTCCCTCTCCCCCTGGACTCGGTCCTGCTTCCCTTGTGCAGTGTGGGCAGAGACGCTTGCTGTCAGGAGGGATCCGCTGCTCTCACTTCCCAGCAGCTCAGCTCTGGCCTCCCTGGCGCTGCAGGCAGCCCCCGATGCATCTGTCGTTGGCAGCCCTGCCCGGGCGGCCCGTGGTGACGCTCCCCGAGCCATCGCTAGGTCTCTAGCCCGGCGGCCTGACCTCCCTCAGAGGCAGACCCAGAGGGAGCCGCCAGCCCCCTGCTGGGCAGATCAGGAGGCTCACGCCCCGCGTGGAAGTATAAACGTCCTGCCCAGCAGCTCGCTTGGAAGAGCTGCCAAAGGAGAGAGACTCCTTCCTGATGCCGGAGGGGGATGCCAGGGAGAACTGCTGCTGCCCCCGGGACCAGCACATCTCCTTGGGGGTAGGGAGCCCGGGGGGAAGGTCGGATAACGATCCCGTTTCTCTCTTCTATCCCCTGCCCACACTGGCACAGCGCCCCCCGCAGCGAGTCCTGGAGCCTGCCATTTGCATCCAGCTCCACCCCCTGTGCCAGGGCAGATTCCCGTTGGAGGGTTTAGGCTCCTGTGCTAGCTGCGATTGCACTGAGATGGTTATGAAATGTCGGCCAGACCCTCCGTTTCACTCGGCACTGCTTGCTCATTGCCAGTAACGAGCCTGGAGTGGGAGGTGGGCTTCTGGGAAGCAGCACTGTGCGGGGGGTCAGACTAGATGATCATAACGGTCCCTTCTGACCTTAAAGTCTGTGAGTCTGAGCACAGCTTGGATGTGTTCAGGGGTCTCTGGTCGAAGGACACCTGCCGGTCCAGCACTCCTGCTTCTTGTCCCCCGTGTGAGAGACCTTCCAGCTTTGGGCGCGCCAACAGTCTCGAGGGGCTTGAGTGGCGCTGAAAGACATTTGCATGAGCCTGTCTGCAGCAGAAAGGGGGCTGGGCTGCCTGATGCTGAGCCTGGGCCGTTAACAGCTAGCACCGTTGCTCTAACTCCTGCTGACCTCATCTTGGGCCGCTGTCTCCTGCCGAGGCCTGGTCCACACTGCTAGGTTTGGCTGGCATAGCCGTGTTGATCCAGGGTGTGACTCCTCATTCTCCTCCCCTCCCCCTCGGATGTCGCTATGCAGAAACTCTGCATGGGCTGTTACGTTTGCAGAAATGCTTCGTTGGTATAATAGGGGCCCTACAAATTCACAGCCATGCAAAACGCATCCTGGACTGTGGAATGTGAAGCCTGGCCCTGTGTGTGCTGGCCAGATTTCATGGGGAGACCAGTCTTTCTCCAGTTGGGGGTCCTGGCCCAGAAGGGGGTTGCAGGAGATCCCAAGGTTATTTTAGGAGGGTTCCGTAGGGCTGCACTGCCTTCGGAGCCGGGCAGCTGGAGAGCAGTGGCTGGAATGTTGGCCAGGTGCCCAGCTCCGAAGGCAGCGCCCTGCTGGCAGCAATGCAGATGTAAGGGTGGCACGACCATGCCCATGTCACCCTTGCTCAGTGCTGCTGCTGTCAGAGTGTGGCAGCTGTGACCATTGTCCAGGCAGTGCAGAAACAAGGGTGGCAACACCAGGCCAGGTCATCCTTCCTTCTGTGCTGCTGCTGGGGCGCTGCCTTCAGAGCTGGGCTCCCCACCAGCAGCCACCGCTCCCAGCTGTGGGCCGCAGTGCCCCTACAGTAACCTCGTGACCCTCACACCGGACCAGACCCTTACAGGTACAGCACAGCCACACGGCAGATTTCAGTCGCTGAAACCCTAAATGTATCGTTTTTACAATTCTATGACCATGACGTTGACCCAAATGGACCATGAATTTGGGAGGCCCCTAAGTATAATGCCGTCTGTTCGGGGAACTGGTCCGGGGCTGCTTGCTGAGAAGCGATACCAGCGTATCCCTTCAAGCTAAGAGCAGACCCTGGAGGGAGGAGAGTCGTGACTGTAGCTGCTAATGGCGTTGCTGTATTGGCAGGAGAACGCGGCGCACTTCTGTGGCTCTGAGCGGTAACTGTTCTATTTTGTCTTCCAGATTTCTCCACTTGCTAGGTCTTTCCCCAAAGTACTGTGTTTTCTAGAGGAGGTGAAGAGAGGGGATGGCCAAGATGAAGAGTGGTTTAATGTGGTGAAGTATCTCCTTTCCACCACTTCTCATCACCATCCCATCCCACCACACCTGTCAGCTCACCCCTTCATCCCATGCCACCAGTGACTCCCCTCACTCATGTGTCTCATCTCTACTGGTGCCCCACCCCTGTGGGGTCTGTGTGCGCGATGTCTCACTCGTGGGACTGGCTTGGGGCAGTAGTTGGCGGGTGGGTGTGACTGACTCACTGGAGCCCAACAGTTTGTCAGAAGGCTTCAGATCCCCTCTGACCGTCCCTTGGGGCCAGTGTCTGCCTCCGGGAGCAGTCATGGAATTGCCTTGTCCACCAGGGCTTAGCGACCCAAGTGAAATCTGATCTCCTCGTAAGTCCGGCTCCGGTTTTACATTGGGCAGTAGATACAGGCTGTCTTGGGTTGCCTCCTGCTTTACCCAGCTGGCAGATCCTCCATAAACATTGTGCTTAGGAGCCTTTCTAAGTCACTGTGAGGGGGAGGATTCTGTCTAGATCCTCGGGCTCAGCAGCTAGTGACCAGCAGCTCCATGTCCAGTTGGTAGCTGGTAACAAGCAGGGTGCCCGGGGTCAGTCCTGGGGCTAGGTTTCTTCAGCATCTTGATTGCTGACCTGGAGGCGGGGGTTCCAGTGGATGCAAAGCTGGAGTGAACAGTGTGCCCTTGTAGCCAAGAAGGCCAATGGCATATTAGGGTGCATTAGGAGGAGCATTGCCAGCAGATCCAGAGAAGTGATTATTCCCCTTTATTCGGCTCTAGTCAGTCCACATCTGGAGTATTGTGTCCAGTTCTGGGCCCCCACTACACAAAGGCTGTGGACGCACTGGAGAGGGCCCAGCGGAGGGTAATCACAATGATTCGGGGGCTGGAGCTGAGGGATTTGGGGTTGTTCAGTCTGCACAAGAGCAGAGTGAGGGGGGATTTGAGAGCAGCCTGCAACTGCCTGGAGGGAGGTTCCCAAGAGGCTGGCGAGAGGCTGTTCGCAGTGGGGGCAGGGGGCAGAGCGAGGAGCAGGTCCTGGGGCTAGGTTTCTTCAGCATCTTGATTGCTGACCTGGAGGCGGGGGTTCCAGTGGATGCAAAGCTGGAGTGAACAGTGTGCCCTTGTAGCCAAGAAGGCCAATGGCATATTAGGGTGCATTAGGAGGAGCATTGCCAGCAGATCCAGAGAAGTGATTATTCCCCTTTATTCGGCTCTAGTCAGTCCACATCTGGAGTATTGTGTCCAGTTCTGGGCCCCCACTACACAAAGGCTGTGGACGCACTGGAGAGGGCCCAGCGGAGGGTAATCACAATGATTCGGGGGCTGGAGCTGAGGGATTTGGGGTTGTTCAGTCTGCACAAGAGCAGAGTGAGGGGGGATTTGAGAGCAGCCTACAACTGCCTGGAGGGAGGTTCCCAAGAGGCTGGCGAGAGGCTGTTCGCAGTGGGGGCAGGGGGCAGAGCGAGGAGCAGTGGGCTCCAGTTGCAGTGGGGGAGGTCTACGCTGGATATCAGGAAGAGTGATTTCCCGAGGAGGGCGGGGAAGCCCTGGGCTGGGTCCCTGGAAGGCGTGGGGTCTCCGTCCTTGGAGGTGTTTAAGGCCCTGGCTGGGGTGAGTTAGTTGGGTGCTTACTGCCCTTGTCCACATGCCGGTGGGCGGTGGGTTGGACGCGATGGCCTCCAGAGGCCTCTTGCAGCCCTACTTCTCTGTAATTCTAAGTGGGTGCAGGAGGGGGTGCAGGAGGGAAAGGGAACTGGCATGGGGGGGGAGGGAGGGAGGGAAATGTGTTACATAGGAGGGCAAGAAACACGGGTTTATACTCTAGAGCAGGGATTCTCAAATTCATTGCACCAGGAGCCCGTTCTGAGAACAAACCCACTGCCCGACCCCCAAGGGGGAGGCCCGAAGCCTGAGCACACCCGAGCCCCTCCACCCCAGGCAAGGGGCCAAAGTCCAAGGACTTCAGAACCAGGCAGAAGACCTTTAATCTGAGCCCTGCCACCCAACAGTGTGGTGGGCCCAGCCTGGCCTGGACGCCCCCACCCGCCCTCATTCGCCTGGTTAACGGATTACATGGGACTTTACATCCCTAGAAGAGACCTCAGGAGCTGCTGCTTCAGCCCCGTGCGGTGGGGTCGGGCGTTAGCCCAGCCCAGCCGACCCCCTTACGATGGAGTCACGCCCCCTTGGGGTCCTGGCCCACCCTTTGAGAACCGCTGCTGGGGCCGTGCATGTGTCTGGTGCCGCAGAGCAGCTGTGCACAGCCTACTGGCAGGTGCCTCGTGGTGCTCCGAATCGGGGTGAGGCGGCCCGCGTCGGAGCGGAAAGCCACGGCGTGCTAGCGCTCTGCCCTGCGGCGCAGCGGCATGGACGGGTGGCAGTGGGGAAGCAGACAGCAGTATCCTGTCCGCACGCTGGTGGGCTGCAGTTGCCCCAGGGAGCACTACGGCAGCCAGGTTAAATGCGAGTCCGGCCTGGTAGTCTGGAAATGCCCAGTCCGTCCCCGGGCTGCCTTCGCTTGGCGGTGGAGCGTGCGTGCTCTCCGCACAGGCTTTCCTGCTGGGTTTAATCTCGCTCCGGAGCAGAGTCAGCAACGTACCTTTGTTCTGACGGTTGTGCCCCGCACGGTGTCACTACAGGCGTGACACACCTGCACCGATGCTAGACCCATCGGATTAAAAATCCATCCGCCCTTTTGGTGCTTTCGCTGCAGTTTCGGAAACATTCCCAAAGACATTTAACCAGGGGCCATGTCCTTGGGAGTTTGCTGAGGGAGGCTGTGGAAGCTCCATCACTGGGGGCATTTAGAGCAGGTTAGACCCCTGGCAGGGATGGTCTAGACAGTGCTGGGTCCTGCCGTGAGGGCCCGGGACTGGACTCGGTCTCTCGAGGTCCCTGCCAGTTCTAGGGTTCTGGGAGTCTGTTCTTTGTCAGTCCAGTGGACTTGAAGGAGAAAATCGTCAGTGGATCTTTGAGCAGGTGTGAGCGAGTCCTCGGGAGGCAGGAGAACTGCAGCGTCTTTAGTCCCAGGAGCATCCGGTTTGGACTTTAGAAAAGCTGGTCCCAATGTTTCCTGTGCAGAGATACTTTGAGTCTGCTCAGGGTTTTAGCAACCTCTGCTTTCTACTCTGGGCCTGTGACGCGAATACTGCAAGGATAGGGACCTGCAAAGCGTCCTCCTCTCCCATGCTGTGTTCCTCCACGGCAGGGCGCCTCCCCCAGGGCTGGGGCCCGGGGGAATTCAGCGTCACCGGGAGCAGCGAACACGGACGCCCGTGGTGTTCCTGGCCGCGGAGGGCTGGCCTGCGACCAGGCTGCTCAGACGGGGCACCGCTGTCGGCTAGCCTGGCGCGTTGGTTGCAGGCAAGGCTGCCGCCTGCCGATGCGCGGGTCGTCTCCATGCAGAGATGAAAACCAATGGGTCCCTTCAGCCAGTTGGTTTTCCTTAGTCCTCTTCCATTCCGCAATCGACGCAGCCTGGCTCCTGCGACGCGCCCGCGGGCTCGGGGCCGCTGGCTCCCCTCCGTTAGCGGGAAGGCGTCCGGGTCCAGGCGTCCCTCCGCCTCTGACGTGTCCCTCTCGGCTCGCCAGGCCAGTTCTGTACCGAGGACGTGGATGAGTGCCAGCTCCAGCCCAACGCTTGCCTGAACGGCGGGACCTGCACCAACCACAACGGGGGCCACAGCTGCGTCTGTGTCAACGGCTGGAGCGGGGAGGACTGCAGCAAGAACATCGACGACTGCTCCAACACGCCCTGCACTGCCGGGTCGACCTGCATCGACCGCGTGGCCTCCTTCACCTGCGTCTGCCCGGAAGGGAAGGCCGGTAAGGGCGGGGAATGCGCCGCGCTGGGGGGGCGCCATTTCTACAGGACGCCAGCATTTGCCTTTGTCCAGTCCCAGCGGGCGCTGCCAAGCTCCGAGCAGTCCTGTGGCCCCCAAGGGACTGAGCCGGAGAGGGTGCCACGGGAAAAGTGTCCCCGTCCCGTGGGAGGTGCCGCGTGCCCCTGGGTGGGAGGCCTGTGTGGCTGAGGCAGTGCAGCCCAAGAGCCAGGGAGAGGGCGCCTGGAATTGCTGGGCCTCGGGGGTAGCACACCCCTGCAGCTCAAGTGGGAGCCTGGGGCATGGCTGCTTTCAGGCCGCCTTGCCTGGCAGGGTGGGGGGTGAGGGAGCGAGAGCGTGGGTGCTCCCAGGAGCCCAGCTAAGGGAGACACGCCATGCTAGGGGCGCGCCAGCGAGGGTGAGTTGCTCCGAGCTGGCGCTTTCAACGAGGAGCGCTGACAGATGCTCTGCAGCCGCAACAGTGCGACTTCCCGGTGTGTTGTGTCGCACGGTGGTGTCAGCGTCCCGTGGCGAATGTTCGCAGGAGACCTCTGCTGCCATGGGAGCCAGGCCTGGCGTCCCAGCACAGGAGGCCAACGCTACATGTGTGGTGCCACCGACAGAACAGCTTTTATTCTCCTGCCTCTGTAGGTCTCCTGTGCCACTTGGACGATGCGTGTGTGAGCAACCCGTGCCTGAAGGGAGCGCTGTGTGATACCAACCCCCTGAATGGACACTACATCTGCACCTGCCCCCAGGGCTACAAGGGAGCAGACTGCATGGGCGATGTGGATGAATGTGCCATGGGTGAGGCCCGTCGGTAACCGAGGTCTCTGGGGACACAACGGAGCAGCTGCCTGGAGGCAGGGCTGCCACAGCTCAAGGCTGGGCTCCTCCGCTGCACGGCACCAGAGCCGTCCCAGCACTCCTGAGCTAGTCATGTGACTGGCGAACGTTTCCTCTGAGCTGTTGTGTAGATGCCACCTTCGCGCGTCAGCGAGTGACCTTGGTTTGTGTCACGAGTCGGGGCTGAATCCCAGTGCACCGTCTCCGTGTCGTGGGTAGAGGTGTGTGGCCATTCTGTAGCCTTTCCTCCCAGGCCACGGTTCCTTCCTTCGCACACGGAATTCTTGTCCATGTGAGACCCCTCCAGTCCTTTCCGAAGTAGGGTCAGTAATCCGGCCTGGTGCTCCGGGGGGCGGCCCTTGAGTTCTGTACTGGTCTCATTTCCCAGAAGGGGGCAGACTGCCATGCCCAGAAGAGCAGCTTGAGACCCGTAACTGTCTGTCTGTTGCAGCAAGCAGCAACCCGTGTGAGCACGATGGGAAATGTGTGAACACAGAAGGCTCCTTCCACTGCGAATGTCTGAAGGGCTACACGGGGCCGCGCTGCGAGCTGGACATCAACGAGTGTCTCTCCGAGCCCTGTCAGAATGACGCCACTTGCCTGGATAAGATCGGAGGGTTCACGTGCCTGTGCATGCCAGGTAGGGTGCCTGCCCAGCGGGACGGGCTGCCGGCAGAGACGGAGAGGCTCAGAAGTGGGAGGGAGGGTTGAATGAGCTCAGTGGACGTGGCTTGCTGGCGTGGGAGGGGAGGAGGAAGGAAAGCGAATCTGCACTTTGCTAGTGAGCAAGGCCTCGCTTGGCCATGAAATACAAGCGCACAAGGTGGTTGCTGCGCTAGCCGCCTTTGCAGCTCAACATCTGGGTTTGGGTAATTCCCAGAGCTTGGCCAAGGCGAGGGTTTGCAGATGCTGCTGTTCCCTGGAGCCTGAAGCTGTTCTGTCGATCCAGAGATCTCATCACTGAAACATGGTTTAATGTTTGAAATCTCTTCTCTGTAGCATTTGACACCAAATTCCCCAGTGGCCTGGCTAGCCTAGCACTGACCAATACCCAGCGCTGCAGGGAAAGGGGGTCCTCGTGCTCTCGGCCGACTGGGCCGTGTTCTACAAGTGCAGGGGAGGAATTCCTTCCTGGCTCCAGCAGACCCCGAGCTGGCACCCTGAGGCGCACAGTGAATTTACCCCAGGCTTAGTGAGTCTAACAACAAAAGAAGGCCTTGCTCCACCCGTTCCAAAATCCACATGCAGTATTGTGTCTGCCCTCGTGGGAGTGCGTTTGAGGGACTGCCTGCTGAGCTCCCTTTTCTTTTGTTTGTGAGGGTCTGGCTGCACGTGCACCCTCTTTCCAGAGAGGGATGCAAATGAAGACATTCGAAATGGCAGATGAAGCCGGGATTTAAATATCCCTCACTTCATTTGCATATTCGCGTTATGGTGCTATTTCGAAATAACAGACGCTGTTAAGACGCGGTTATTTCGAGAGAAAACCCTTCTTTCAAAATAAACCTTATTCACGCCATAATGTGAATATGCAAATGAAGCGCAGGATATTCGAATGTCTTCATTTGCATCCCTCTCTTGAAAGAGGGTGCAAGCGCAGACATACCCTACGTGACTGGCTTTTAATGCCAGTGACTCTCCTTACGTTCTTAGATTGGGGCCTGTGGTCCATGTGGTTAAGCATCTCCCAGATCATTAAAAACATTGTTGTCACTCTCTTTTCAGCATGTGGAAGAAAAGGGTGCACCTCAATTCCGATCTCTGGTTCTAGTGTGATTCTGGGGGCTCATGCATGCAGGTCTGAAAATGTAACGTTACAGTTGAGAGCTCCACTGGAACACTTGTAATTTTGCCTTTAAAATATGGTCTCTGGACATCAAAAGTTGTCAGTGCAACCTGGAATCTCTACTTCTGTGAAATCTGGCTTTGATTTTCCATCCCGGACTAAGGGGCCGCCAACGCCCTGGGCACTTTCCTAAGCCTTTCTGCTGTCCCTTGTCCTTTCCAGGGTTTAAAGGTGTGCACTGTGAGCTGGAGATTAACGAGTGCCAGAGTAATCCCTGTGTGAACAACGGGGAATGTCTGGATAAAGTCAATCGCTTCCAGTGTGTCTGCCCACCTGGTAAGTGTTCCTGCTTCTGCCCGCAGACGGCCCAAGAGACGGGTGGAAGGGAGCGTGTGCAAACCTATTTGGGACGTGCCGTCCCTGCAGAGAGCTCAGGCCCCACTTAGAATCCCTTTAAAGGAGAGCAGGCGTGATTAGCTGGAACACTCGCTCAATACCTTGCAGGAGCAGCTGCACCAATGCAGCGTTAACACTGCATTTAACTGGACGCGCATTGGCGAGACTTAGCACGCTGGCTTGCGCAGTGGCTGGCTTGCTAAGGATGAATTCCAGAGCAATGTCTGTAGAGATTGCGTTCAGACTCTGTTCTAACTCCAGCCAGCTTTCCTCCTCCACATTATGTTTTGGCTTTCTCGAGGTGGTTTTCAGCGGGGGTCTCTTCTCCCAGCGTGGTCCAGTGGCTAGCTCCGTGTCTGTGCTGGCTGGAGAGCTGGGCCTGCTTGAGGGGCGGGGATGGCTCCTACTCTGAGAACAGCTGGCGGGGGCTCACGTTGCGCTTGCCTTTCAGGGTTCACTGGAGCCGTGTGCCAGATCGACATTGACGACTGCTCCAGCACCCCGTGTCTAAATGGAGCCAAGTGCATTGATTACCCAAATGGCTACGAGTGCCAGTGTGCCACAGGTTAGCCTTCCACGCCGTGTCTCGGGCAATGGCTAGAGAAACGAGGGTAGTGGGCAGAGGCAGGCAGCAGGGCTCTGCTGGCTCCAGGAATCTTTGCTGCCTACCTCCCTGCAGCACTGCGAACCCCCCCAGCAGACCTTTTAATCCAGCCCTCCAGTTCCCGCTAGGGCGTGGGGTCAGGAGCCTGCCCCGCTCTGGCGGTCCGGCCGGCCTGCCTGGCTCCGTGTGCGCCATGGCTCCTGGGAGCAGCAGCACGGCCCCCCTTGGTCCCTACCCGTGGGGTCAGCTAGGGAGCGCTGGTCACATGCTGCCACGCCCCAGGCGCCAGCTAGATCTGTGCTTCATCAGCAATAAGCCTGGCTGGGTGCCTCGATCCCGGACCAAATCTTGTGCCATTGGGCAGGTCGCTGGAGGTCTTGCATGTCAGCTGTCTGCACCGGGCTGGGTGGCACAGAGCGAGAACACACACACGGTGCCTCACAGGCTGTGAAAGCCGCTGCTCTGTGGTGGTAGGGGAGAGGCGGGTTCGCCCGTGCCCCAAGCACACGCTCAGGCTGGTCGATTCGGGTGAGGTTTGGCTTCCTGTCAGCAAATCTCTTCAGAGACTCCCATTCTCTTAAAGAAGTGGCCACAGGAAGTGGTGGCCCAGCAGCCCCACCCTCTGCTCTGCCCGGAGTTCACGGGGACGGTCCTGCCCCAAGAAGCCCTAAAGGCACCGGAGACCTGAGCCCCTCACTCCAGATCAGACTTAGAGAAACATTCCCTCCGCTGTGTGGCCTGGCTGCATGACGGGCAAGTCCCCTTCCCCAAGGAAGGAAGGGACGTGGCAGAGGGTGCCTGGAGCAGTTCAAGAAAGCCGCTGGGGAGAGTAGCCGCTAAGCTGTTGGGGCAGGAGCCAGGCCCTCCATTGGGTGTTAGCCCCCTCGTGCTGTTAGCGCCACTAGAAACAGCAGAATTCTCCAAAATGGCGTTCACAGCAGCTGCGGCAGAGGAAGATTGTGCAGGAGACGTCGCAATAGTCCTCAGAATTACCAAGAGTCGTGGTTCATTTTCCATCATGGGGAGTCCTGTTGAGACTAGCTGCTGTTCTAGAACACGTGCTCTCGTCTGGCCACAAGTTATCGGGCTTGGTGCAGGCATTGCTGGGTGAGATTGCATAGGAATTCATAGCGACTCTTGGCTTGGGAGCTAGGAATCCACCACAAGCCAATGACTGGCTAGGAAGCATCTCTCTTTATTCCCTAGGGCTGTGTCTACACTGCAGGGGCGGTTGGAAAAAGATACACAAATTGCAGTTTGTAATTTGCATATCTTTTTCCATTTGTTTGTTTTTTCAGAAGAGGCTTTTCTGACATTTGGCTCTTCTACATGTGGTCAAATGTCGGATAAACCTCCTCTTTCAGAATGTCCCTTATTCCGCATAAAATGAAGAACATGGGCATGCCGAAAGAACGCATCTGCTTTTTCGGAAGCTGTTCTGAAAAAACGGAAATGTTCTTTGGACGCAGCAGAGCTTTTCCGAGATACCTGCGGTATCCCAGCAACGCTCTGCAGTGTAGGCATAGCCTAGGAGACACGGTTGTGCAACGTATTCTGGGACAAGTTGTCATCCTGCAGACCATGTCATAATCGTACTCCAAAGCTTGTTCAGACACCGGAATCCCAAAAGAAGACACAGTTGTGTAGAACAGCCGCTAGAATGGGAGGTCCGGAGCTCCTGCTGCCTGGTAGGGAGAAGGAATCCGTTCTGTCTCTCTGAGGAGTTGGAAAGAATCCGCAGGAGGTGTGTCTTCGCTCCCATGCCTGGGAAATGAACCAGGCACACCCACCTGTATCGGGCTCCCAACCACAGGCTGAATCTCTTAGTCCATCTCCTGACTGCGCTAAGCAGTTCTGTGGAAACGCTGGGAGTGGCGTTTATTTTGCGGGTAACCCTCGGCGAGACACTAGTCAGCACATCCTGAGTGGATATGGTAGCAGCTTGTGAAATGCCTGTCTCCGCCATGGCATGCCGTGTGACAGCGTGCAGTTGCGCTTAACGCCAATCCCAGGGGATGCTGGGAGATTCAGGAGCGCAGGTTTCAGAAAGGTTGGACTGGAAGGCTCTCGTCCAGAGGAGGAGCCATTACCACCAAGATTCTCCTTTGACTGCTGATTGTGACCAAATAAATGACCCTAGGGAAAGGCGAAACTCAACCCCTTTTTGGACTTGGAAGCAGCTGTGGAAAGTCTGCGCCTGACGCAAGCCAGGCCGTGCTCCAGCAGATTTCATTCAGTGGGTGGGGAGCCTTCATTATTAATCTTTAGCAGAGCCTGCTGGGAGAGAGGGATTTGCAGCCATATGTAATCCCGGGTCGCCGACCCGCCTCTCCGGAGAGGTGGCAGGAGGAGGGACAGTAGGTACAGAAAAGCCAAACTTGAGTTAAGGCCCCGCGCAAGGCCAGGTAAATGTGCGATCCCTCAGCCTCCGAGTCGCGCCTGCTCCTTTTGCCCGCAGGGTTCTCCGGCACGTTGTGTGAAGAGAACATCGACAACTGTGACCCGGACCCCTGCCACCACGGGCAGTGCCAGGACGGAATTGACTCGTACACCTGCGTCTGCAACCCAGGCTACACGGGGGCCATATGCAGCGAGCAGGTGGACGAATGTCAGAGCAGCCCCTGCCTCAATGAAGGACGCTGCATCGACTTGGTGAACGGCTATCACTGCAACTGCCTGCCGGGCACCTCAGGTACTGCACATCCAGTGGCAGGGCAGTTCGGCTTTGTCTGCATGGAGCTAGCCGGGGGCTCGGCTCCTTTTCCAGCCCCTCACTTCTGAGGGGGCCTTCTGTGCCGTACTTGAGTGATTGCGGGCAGGAAGGGCCAGTGTGAAATAGGAAAGGTCACACCCGAAGTGCAAGGCCAGGGCTCGGGGCGCACAAGCGCAACACGGATAAACAATAGCCCGGGCTGCGTGTTCAGCCAGTACCGCCTGCTGATGGGTGATCTCTCCAAGCCAAGGCAGCTACGAGCCTTGCCCTGCTGCTCTTGGGTGGGCTTGCCCACGCGGGACTGGGGCTGCAGCAGTTCTGAGAAGTTCCCTCCTGGGACTCCGTGGGATTAGGAGCCCAGCCATAATCCACGTTTGAAAAGTGTGACCAGTGTGGAAAAGTTCATCAGCTTTCTTAGCGCACAAAGGGCTAAACTCTTAACACTGTTTCCAAGTGGCAGCCTTTATGCCACTAAAGCTTTTAATTTCAAAACAAAGGAAGCAAGTTAGTAATATTGTCCTGTTGGCTTTATTAATATCACTGCCTACGTGTCTGCAGGGTCCCTGCCCTAATTCTCAATCTTATTTTTTCCCAACCAGGATACTCTGCCTAGTGCTTAAATTAAAATATTCATAATTTAGTTGATTAAATTCATATTAATTTTTCATCTCAAGTGGCAACAACAGAACTCTCAAATTAGCTTCACAAAGCGTCGACGTGACTAGAGTGATTTCAATCACTCTGTTTTAAAAGCTGGCTGCAATCACCTCGATATTCTGTTGCTCTCTCTTGGAAAAGGTTCCCCCTAAGAGCCATGCATCAGAGCACTCTGCTGGGAAGGACAAATTATTTATCAGAGCCATTTGGGTTGTGCCAAATAACACTGGCTTCTTTTTCAAATGAATATTGAAGTTAACAGCTCCTCAGACTGGCAGAGGAGAGCGAGGCGCCCCAAGTGCTCGTACGAATCCCTTTGGCACACCAAAGCAGTGTCAGCACTGCAGTTTGAATAGGGCTGTTTTCAGGAGGCTTCTAGCTTCGTTTGTATGTGCGGGTAGGTCGGGGATCTCTTCAATTTCATCCCATTTGGTTGCAGGCGTGAACTGTGAGAACAACGTGGATGACTGTGCGAGTAACCCCTGCATTAACGGCGTCTGCGTCGATGGCATTAATCGCTACGAGTGCGTCTGCAGGCCGGGAGTTACAGGTAAGAGCTACTGTCAGTAATTCGGGCTTGTGCTCAGCTTTGCCTGGCAGCTAATCGTCTGCGCCCTGGGCTTGGCTCTCCTTCGTGTATTGGCAGCACAGGGCCTAGCCAGTGTCTGGATTTCTCCTTTCCCAAGGCTGCTCTGCGTGTGCTAAGGAGCAGCCCTCGCCTGGTGCCACAGGGCGTGGTTCCGTTCGGCTTAGTTAATCCATTTCACATGACTCCGCCTCATAGGAAATAGCGAGGGAAAGCCCGGCGGGTTAACTCGCAGGAGAGGGAAGTGGAAGCTCCCAGCAAGAGGTCTCACTCGGAACGGCACCTGGGGAATGGCCCAGCTTGCCCCTTCCTTCTGCAAACGCAAAGCCCCCGCGCGAGTGTTACCGCGGGCGCACGGCTCCTAGCACCGGCACCAGCGTCTCCGCCAGCCGCGCTGCTGCTCCTTGGACGGAGTTCACCCCGTGGTGTCAGTTGTCCTGTTGGCACTGCCATCGCAGGGGCTGCGTCTTGCAAACGTGCTAATTGGCCTGCAGGCGAGGCCAGGTGCAATGCGTTCCAGAATGATTCCAATGAGAACTGAGCCAAAATCTCGCCTCCCGTAGCCCTGCCGAGACCTCACTTGGTGCTTTTCTCCTGTCAGATCTTGTTAAGCTTCCACCGTCTGCGCCAGGTACTTTGCAGGCTCCCCGGCAGAACGGCGGCTTGAGCAGAGAGGCATACGGGCGGTGGCTGGGGAGAACAAGAAGCCGTGTGCTCTTCCCTGTGTACACATCAGATCTGGATGTGTTCTGGCAGGAAGGAGGGGTTGGGTGCCGAGCCGATAGCCCAGGAAGGCTGCATCAGGCACAGAGCAGTTACCTAGTTGTCAGCCCTTGGAGAGTGTGTAATTGTGTAGTGGCTCTGTCTCGGGCCCAGGCCTGTGAGACGTGGCTGCAGACCAGTGGCTTTCTGGGACTTTGTGTTGGGGATGAGTGGTGGAAGCTCGCCCGGTGTCCCTGCGGGCGTGGGAACGCGGGTTAACCAGGCGTGTTCCGTTCAGGTCCGAGGTGCAATGTGGACATTGACGAATGCCTCTCCAGTCCCTGCCGGAACGGTGGAACGTGTGAAAATGAAATGAATGGGTTTCGGTGCCTGTGTCCAGACGGCTTCCATCAACCCGTCTGTCAGTCGCACGCTGACGAGTGTCTAAGGAACCCCTGTGTGCATGGCAACTGCACGCAGGATGGCAGTGGGTGAGTGCCAGCGGCGTGCTCAGTGCCTTGGGACCCTGGGTACCAGTGCTGCATACACGGGAAGCAGTCAGGAGGCCTGGCCTTTTTGCCAATGAACTCTGTGTTTAGATCCCCAGCGTTTGTATGGAAGAGTCAGATCTGGCCTGGCCGCTGGCGAGTGGTAAGAGCAGGAGGGCCACTGACACATGGGGAGGGTCACTGGGTTAGAGGGGCTTTCTTCCCGGCGCCTGGAGTGCCTTGTGCCACGTGTCATCTGCAGCGGAGAGAGTGGAGCGTTTTGTTCCTGCTTCTCTCTGTGTCCGGCTGCCCGCCGGGCTTATTGCTGGCGAGCAGGCCGAGCCGTTCCAGCTGCCCAGACCCCTTGGAAGGAGTGTCTTTCAGTAAATGCCCTCTGCGGCAAAGATCCCGGCTGGCCCAGGTGACGTCTGCTAAACATGTCGTAGCTTAACCTGGCCACTGGGTGAAGTGGGGGAGTCTCCGTGGGCTAGCTGGAGCGATCTGCGGGCCCCTGCCTGCTTGGACAGCCCTGTGTCTGCGGGGCTATGGTCTCCTGCCATGCGTAGCCTCGGAGTGTCTGAGCACCTCCTACTAGCACCGCATGCACCAGGCCTCTCCTCTCGCCCAGGAGAGGGGCATGTGCAGTGGGGAGCTTGGCTGTGGTAGGGTCTGTAAAGTCGGCTTGGCCGTGAGTTTCGATTGGAGAAGGCGGGTGGAGTGCTTGGGGGGGGCTTAGTTCCTGGGGGGTGGCTTTCCAGACTCGTGGGCTGGCCCTGGGAACACCCTGCCGGGCGCTCGGGCGAGCTCCGATTCCCACCCTCGGAAGGAGCGTTGCTGTGCCAAGGAGCAGGGCTGCTGAGCCCCGGGTTCCTCCTGGGCCGTTTGGCCATCCCTTCAGCATGCTGGCCTGGCGCATTGTGCCTGGGGAGACAAGGCCAAGAACTGGCCGGTGGGCGTGAGGGGCAGACATCGCATGCGGTGGGGAAAGCGTGTAGGACGGGCCAGGTCGTTGTCTCCGAGCTAGCCAGATGCCGACACAGAGCCGGAAGGAGCCCAGGCTCTGGGGAGGGGAAGGACAGACCAAAGGGCTGTGGCTGAGCTCTCCTCGGCGCGCCAGCCTCGGCTCCGCCCGGCCGGGTGCCTGCCTCGAGCGGGTCTGGTCCAGGCGTGGGGCCATGCGGGAGGCAGCGGCACGTGGAGAAGTATAGCTGGGTTGTCTGCGTATGGCAGGCACAGGAAACTGTGTCCTCTTGCCTGCCCGGGGGCGTGTGGAGAGCAGCTTGCTCTTTGGGACTCTGTAGACGCAGCCATGCACTTTCCTATCACTGCCCCTTGAGTGTGCCCCTCCCGGACAGGCGTCAGCCACCGCAGTGCGCTCCCCTGGGCCCATCCCCTCTCGCTGTGGAGCCCATCCAGCCGTGCTACTGAAGGGCTCCAGGCTGTGCCCGGGCTGGACTACTAGCTTAAGTTAGACGGGCAGGAGTGGGCCTGGGTTGGTTGTATATGAAGGAGATGGTGTAGCTGGTGTGACCATGGTAAACATGATTCATGAACCTTGCTAAGGGCAAATCCTCCCCGTTCCCCTCCCGTGTCAGGCTGTCGACTTGCCTAGTCGCGTGGGTAGCACAGCTGCCCCGGGATCGTGCAGAACCCTGCTATTTTCTTTCAGGTACACGTGTCTCTGCGACCCAGGCTGGGGGGGAGCCGACTGCGAAGTGGAACAGAACGCCTGCCTGTCAGACCCGTGCCAGAACGGCGGCATTTGTGACAGTCTAGCAGCTGGCTACAGATGCAAATGCAGGAAAGGATTCAAAGGTGAACTCGAGGGACGAGCCTTTGTCCTCTTTTGTTTTCCATTGTACTGCCCCGTAGTGCAGCAGACTTCTTCTTGGACCGTCTCAGTGCCGCCCTGCGAGGTACAACGCCAGCATGAGTGAACTGAACACAGCTGGGGGCGCAGCCTGTCCCGGGCTTCCCAGGAGAGTTTGAGAGCATGACGAAGAGCAGGCAGTTTCTCCGCCACTCTCACTATTGTGCACTCCCTCGGAAGGGAAAGTCCGTTCCCCCGCAGAGGTAACAGGTCTGGCCTATGGCCGCCTCAGGCACACAGCGAGCTCTTGAGCAGTGGGGCTCCTAAGAGTGTTCACCACACAACCCCTATGAACGGTCTCTACCTGGGAAAGTCTGGACGAGGCCTAGTGCGCGGGGCTGCTTCTCGCAGCAGAGCACAGGCCGGGGGCGCTAGCAGCATGGAAACGGCCTGTCAGGCCTTGGCTGTGGAAGGTGACCAAAGGCAAACGCTTTAGGCCGATGCACTAGAAACAGTCTGGGCATGCGCAGACGTGTACGGCAGACTCACGCCGTACGCAGGTGGCTCGGTCTCTGCTCTCGGCAGTTTCACTGTGGTTTTCGGGAGCAGCCCAAGGAGGAGAACGATGCAAAACGCAGCCTTGAAGTGACAAGCCATGAGGGGCTTGCGGAGCTGGCAATATTGGGTACAGCCGAGGGCACAGGAAAGCACTTCTGGGCAGTTAGGGTGGCCAGACGCCCCAGTAGTACCAGGAACATCCTGATCTCAGGGCTTGGGCTTGTCTGGGCAGCTGGCACCCCGCCCCTGAAAAGAAAGTGTCCAGCTTTTTCACACTTGCTGTCTGGTCCGCCTGTGACCATGGCTGCTGCCAGGGAGCTGCGGTAGAATCCATCCGGAGTCAGAAGCAACCTCAGTGCAGGAGCTAAAATCGCCGAAGCGAACAGCTCTGCGGTGTCTGGCGAGCGCTAGTCGTCCTTTGCCACCGCGCTCAGGTTTCCCTACCGGCGCTCTGCAAGTGTCCAGCTTTTTCACACTTGCTGTCTGGTCCGCCTGTGACCATGGCTGCTGCCAGGGAGCTGCGGTAGAATCCATCCGGAGTCAGAAGCAACCTCAGTGCAGGAGCTAAAATCGCCGAAGCGAACAGCTCTGCGGTGTCTGGCGAGCGCTAGTCGTCCTTTGCCACCGCGCTCAGGTTTCCCTACCGGCGCTCTGCTGAGCTAACAATACTGCGCTGCCAGGACCGCCTGCCCCTTGCCGA